GAATTCATAGTATTATTTAATATAACTCTATAATAAAAATTGTATAATAATATAATTAATATTAAAATACAGTAATATTATAACACTAATAACAATATAATAGTATTAATAATTAATATTGTAACCCTATAATAAAAATAAAATAGTATTAATACTGTAATAATATTATTATAACACCATAATAATATTATTATAATTATGAATATTAATAATTAATATTATTATGACTCTATAATAATATAATTAATAGTATTAATAATTATTATTTTAACCCTAAAAGAATATAAATAACAGTACCATTACTGTAATAATATTATTTTAACACTACAATAATAATATAATTAATAGTATTATTACTGTAATAATTAATATTATAATAACACTATAATACTAATAAAAATACAAATAATTCATTTATATGTCATATTTTATCTATTGTTCAAAACTACATTTTCAGACTCCACTTATATCTAATTTTAACAATCCCACTCCACAATAAACCCACCATTTTAAATGTTTACACCTCTTAAAACGGTTAAAAAAAACAGCCCTTCTCTTGCTGTTGTCAAATACTTGTAGTGAATACACAGTTTATATTTGTGAGAGTGTGTGAATGAGATTGTGAGAGAAAGCGAAGGGAAAGATTAATGTCATTGCATCATCATAGACATCAGTATCCACCCTTATAAAAGTAGTTTTCGCACCTGTCTGAACCGTTCCAACAGCACTCAAACTTGTCGAAAATGCAGTCGTTCTCGTAGAGCGAGCACAACTTGCTACGTAGGTACTCGTGTACCTGAAACAGAGAAGCACAAGTGAATGAGCTCAAAAAGAGTCATAAATGTGACCGCATTTAAGGATAGGGTGAGACTTTGGGGAGGTGTCGACAGTATTTGAAGAATGTATTAATTGGAGACGTGAAACAACATGTCCTGAAAACAGGACGGCACACGCTCAGGAATGCTGGCTGTCTCAATATTCAGTTCTCTACTGTACCTGGTAGGTCTCTACGGGCCGGTTCTCCATGTTCAGGTCCCAAACCTTAACGGAGAGGTAATCGCGGGTCATCATGTATCTGCCGCTGTGGCTGAACTTGACGTCGGATATGGAGGAGATGATTTCAGAGAAGAACGACCGGCTGCTGGGGTCTTCTGGCTCCTCAAAAACTTTAGAGGGACAAAAAAAACACATGATTTTTGATTTAGATGTAGAAAAAACATTAAAGTACTGCTGAACAATAAATTATTTGAGCATCGATATCACAATCTGTGTATCCGCAATAGTCACGTCTCAGGATTAGATTATGTATTATTATCGTAAAAGATGGAGAAATTATAGAATTTTATTTTTAAAAAAAAGGATTTTTAAAATGATGACTTCTCTTTAAATTGGTAATTTCTCTGCTTGAATACTGTTAGACTTTTGATTTAATGTTCATCTTTGCTCTGTCGTATTTATATTTGCTTGTAATTTACTATATCTTGTGCCGATGCATTCATTGATTCATTCATTCATTTTCTTTTCAGCTTAGTTCCTTTATTAATCTGGGGTTGCCACAGCGGAATGAACCGCCTGTGCTGATGCACTGCATCCAAAAAAAAAAATTATATATATATATATAAATAAATTAAACAAAAATAATAAAATATTAAAAATAAATTAAATAACAAATAATATATTAAAAATTAAATACATTTAAAAAAAATTATAACGTAATTAAAAAATACAATTAATAAATAAATAACATTTAAAAATCATTAAATATTTTTTTTTTATAAATTAACATTTAAATTAAATTGAAATAATAAAATTAATAAATTAAATAAATGAATAAATTTCCTCCAGACTTTCTCATTTAGGATCATAAACATGCATAGCAAATGCTATTATCCTGATGGGTTGCAAAATGAATGCACCAACTTTTAGTCCTTTTTTTTTACATTTTATTTTATGGTTCTACTTACCTGCATTTTTTTATGTACCTATTTTTTTAAAAATAACTATTAACATTATTTACATTTAATGTAAACTTTTATCAGATCCTGCACATGCTAATTTAGTAGAAAATCAAACATTAATTTGGAATTTTTGACTTGCAGTAATGCTGTAAATGTAGCTTTTTACCACAGAAATGAAACCATCAAAACTTATTTAAATACACAAAGCCATTTTGTAGTGTAATATTTTACGGCATCTAAATAAAAGAAAAAAAGCCTTGTGTGAGCATGACATATCAAAATGTTTATCCTAAAATAAACATACGTCACATTTATTTTATTGTAAACTGCACAATATTTAGCATGGTCACGTTTGGAATGCAGCAAGTGATAAGACGCATTAAAAAACAGATCAAACTGTGTACATAATACAAACAACCAGTGCATTTATTTCATTCAAACTCCTGCAGTGTATTGAAATGAGCAGATTTGACAGGAAGTAAAATGGCAAGAGTTTTCCGCTTTGCATTGCTGGTCTGGAATGAGGTCTAAGTTAAAAACAG